TGTCAACATACAATAGGTTTAACCAAGCAGTGTACCTAAATATAAACAGCCACATAAACAAAGTCCATTAGCTCAGTGGTACTTTGAAGACCTAAAGTATCCAACGCGGGGCTAGATACTTTAGGTCTTCAAAGTAGCACTGGGGGCCCCCTTTTAGAATTTGACATCTAACAAGATCATACAAGTTTGATGGTCAAGTGTCCCACACTGGCCATACAGTACATCAAATGTTTAATAAAGTTTGAGCTTGGGTCTGGAGTTTGTAACTGGAGATATGTATAGTACTTGGCACCACAGTTTGGTATTCGGGCTAGAGGGTCATTTCCACCCTAGTCTCTGCCCACCCCAACGACTGCAGATCAGAGCACAGTTTCCCCTTGTTTCAGTTTTCACGAAATGAGACCTTGCATGTCCATCACAGGTTAAAACACAAGCAGGGCATCTTATTAGACTAGTACTATTGTACTGTAACAAATGTATCCGCATGAGTTGCAGATCTGGGAGCTGAAATGCTGAGAACAGGGGCTCTTCAGTCCTGGGTATTAAGCGTTTTGAAGCACAGCCAAATCAGGGGTTTAAACTTTCAGAATACACAGCTTTAATCCGATGCTGAGCTAGCAACACCACTTTCAAAGGCTGATGATGAAAATACAGTTTGAGTTTAGACAAAATAAAACAAAACAAAAAAAAAAACACAAACAAAAATATACGGTAGTGATTACATAAACATAAATGTAACACAAATGATGGTTAATCCCTCGAAGTCAGCAAGCACCCACCTTGTGCTGTGGTGATGTCCTGACCCTCCAAGGGGGTTATTCTACACAAAAAGGTTCTGCCATTTGTGTATTTGCTTGGAATACACAGTTTAAAAAAAATAAAAATTGATGTTTCGTTAATGGATCACGGTCAAACGCTAATCGCAACACTATTCTGCAGCCACCTCTCTCTAGGTTAAGCATGGGCAAGCTACATCTCTCCAGCTGTTGAGGAGCGGCAGGGCATGCTGGGATCTGTAGCTCCTCAGCAGCTGAAGCGCTAACGGCTTCAGTGTCGCTTGGGTGAGGAGCCTGTCCTGCGATGACGAAGTTCAACATTACAGAGACCTAAGGCCATGGAATTTCCATTTCCAATGGAAAGAAAATAATAATATATATAATTATAATAATAATAAAAGGTGCAAATAATTCCTCCGCTCAAGGAGGAGCCAGAAGCCCGTCATGGGCCATTCTGGGAGCCAAAGGGTTAAAACTAGTTTCGTGCCAGTCCTTTAAAACAGGAATCATCCTCCAGAGTCTATCCTTTGACAGATCGTCTTTGGCACAGATGTGCCCTGACCCAGAGAGCCTTGTGTCTGTGTAGGGGGGATTGCTCTTCTCTCTTCTGCAAACTATCTTTCCAATGGGTAAAGCACAGGAGGATGAACACCCTAGCTGACATCACGGGGTGCATATATCAGCCGTGTTTCGTCCAAAGGGTCCACATACAGAGCAACAAAAACACTAGTGCCAAGTATATCCGTCCGACGTCGGGCCTCGTATTCAAGACGATGTCCGGAGCGATGCGAGGCTTTACCCCATACAATGACAGACACAAACCCTCACAAATTCACTTAGAACAACATAACAGGCTACTGAAGGGGACATGGAAGGTGCAGAAGAATGACAAGGCAGGAGACAGAATCAATAGAATTAACATACATAATAGGCCTTGTATCCAATGACGGGAACACAGAAGTGAACAAAGCATTGTTTTTAAGCACGATAGGATCCGACAGGGAGAAGTAATCATCCATTAAACAGGAGCCGCTGCTTTAAACCCCGGTGGGAGGCCTGTGATAAAAGTGGATTCCTTCGGACGTGAACTACTTGGGATATATTGAAGGATTCCGACAGGTAAGTCATTCGGCGTTTTGTGTGCAATCTCCTAATCCGTATGTTTGTGGCTCTTTGGGTTCAGACGAGGGGGAACCCTGAGCAGCCAATGTTTTGTTGTGCGAGGTCCAGGAGAGGCTCAGTTAGTCTCATAAGATGACAGCAGTGCTGCATCCACTGGTTCCATGCAGGAAGGGCAAGTGAAGGATCGCATTAGCCAGTCATCTATACAGTCCATGTGATAAATGTGCATGCAGGGCAGGAATCGTATGGGGTCCCCATACACAAAGTCCATCATACAGATCACACACACTGTGGAAAGAAGAGGACATTCAGGTTTATGGGGAAATAGGAGGCGAGTGGCAAACTTCAACAAAACACAAAGTGAATGAATGGTATAAACAAGCCAAAGTGCACTGGGCATTTTTTTTTTCTTTATAATTTACAGACTATAGGACCAAAAAAGAAATTGTATTAGAAGCTTCTGATGGAAGCAGCCATTCTCTGGATCAGTGTTTGTCAACCATTTTTCAGTTAAAGCAGCCTTTAAAATTCTGCACAAACTCGAGGCACCCCCATTATAAAATGTAACGAAGTAACCCGCATGCAATGCAATTCTCGCACCCGCAACCACATCACACTTCTTTTGCGAGACATGCAGGGGTGCCATTCATTCTGAACAGCACCCCCCATGCATATCATATCTTCCCACAGCATGATCATGGGTGCAGGAAACTTTTTCTTGCGTGAAACTCAGGCACAGCAGCCTATTAAAATGAATTGGCTGCCATGCCTGCGCAAACGCGGGCCACATGGCTTGCACTAGTGTGAAACGGACTTTACACAGCGACTTCCACACTTCTAGGATACCTGACGTTGGAGATTTATTCTTTCAAAGCAAATACACCTTTGCTCACTGGTACTGACTAGCATTCCGATGGTTCTCTACCTGCCTCTGCAAATGTGACCCCAGTGCTGAAGGAGAGGGGTAGGAGACGGGTGAACATGGATGCTGTGCAGGTGCCCGATGTTCTATTTATCAACTGATTATGCCATTGGTTGTTAGGGTACCAGCGACTAGAAGGTTGTTATGCTGCACAATGAAAACTGCTGGCTTTGTGTAACTAAAAAGGCAGGCTTCATCTACCTGCTGGCTTGTATACAATTTGTGGGCAATTTTTACCCATTTTGCCAAGGCACCCCTGACGAAGTCTGGACACCCTGATTGAAAGGCTGCACCTTTATATCCAGGCAGGGACTCAAGAATCCGACTAAACTCCACATCATCACTGCTCTGGGACTAGTGTGTAATTGTGATGGCCAATAGCTGCATGCACTGATCAGTGTATTTTGGTGGAGGTGGAGGGGGGGGGGGGGGGGGGGTGCCCCATCAGAATACAGTAGCATAGGTGAAGAGATTTAAAAAAATAAAAACAAAAAAAACACACAAAACCAAAACAACACAGGTTCCCACCTGTTGATACTGCCAGGAATGTTGTATGATAACCTCCTGTGATCTCTGCTTGTACACAAAGGAAGGAGGGGGGGGGGGCAGGTTATAGTGATGAGGTGAGGTCTGTGCTGTTTGTAAACCTTGAGAAATTAAAGCTGGCCATACACATATAGATTTTCGTACGAGAATTTTCATTTGAAGAATATTCGTTTGATTTTCTAATCGTCAGTGGGGTCAAAGCAATGTTTGTTTTAGACCAGTGACGGGAAAATTCGAAAGGGCAGGAAGGAAAACTTCTCGATCAAACAAATTTTCGACCAGTATACGTGGTTATCGTTCAGAAATTACATTCATTTTAAGCTCTAATGTTAAAAACAAGAGACAATTTTTGAATGACATTCTTCCATTCACCAAAAGCTCAAAGAATTTTTGTACGAATATTCTTGTCCGAAAATCTGCACGTGTATGGCCAGCTTTACCTTTCCATCAGTGGGACCTCTTCTTCTACTGGGTGTCAGTCTTTAGCCATCTTCCTTGGCCAGCTTGGGACATCCCAAGCTGTTGTACATGCATGCTGAGCTGGAATGTAAACAGAGCTGTGCTTGCTCAGCTGAGTGTACATTCTAAAGAAGACTGTGAGCAGACATGTAGATTTCTTTTACTGCATAAGAGGGATTGCATATCTCTTCTGCAATATAGAGCCTGCCTGCTCCCACAGGGGGCCCCGGAAGACATCTGCCGATGATGAAACGCGTTGGGAAGAGCCTTCCTCTGACGTCATCACACTGTCCGCCATCTTGGAAGCTGTATATGAATGCTGATATTCCTTTTAGGTTTGTAAGTAGAATTTTATTTGTGTAATAAAGGCACATTAGTTTTACTATGAGAGGCATGTTTTATTTTACATGACATTGTCCTGATACCGCTGGGAATGGCTTACTGACCTAAGTGGAATCTGGGTCCTGGTTATGATATAGAGGTCCAGATGGAGCTACATCTATATAGAGCCTAATAAGACCCCCTATAATAAGGGGTCTTCGTATCTGGTAAGTCTCCATTTTACACGTATGGTGGTGGTCCGTTCACGTTGGTGATTTGTTGGATGAAAAGAAGATCAACATTACTGATATTGTATTCAGAAACGGATGTTTTTTTTCACGAATTGTTTGTGGAAGTTGACACTCACATGGACTTTGAATACTTTATTGTTCCTCACATGGAATGTATACAACACTTGTATGTATCACTTTGCACATTTTATTATGTATTTAGAGTTGCTTACGTGATTATTGGATTTGTTTAAACAGAATTTTTCTTTCACACATAGCGCAACATTAATGCCATTTGCTCTGTACAATACCATTGCACAGAGAGCAGGTGAGTATATCATGCTTATTTTAATTTTAAAAAATGGCCTTTAACCCCCAGTTCACATCCATGGAACCGTGCGGGCCGCGTTTTGCAAGGGCACAAGAGCCCATTCATTTGAATGGACTCCTGTGCCCGTGACACGCAGTGAAAGAAGTCCATGCACTTCTTTGGAGAACACAACCTGCACGGGAACCTCAGTTCCCAGTACGGTGGTGATTTCCAGTGCGGGCGGCGTGCTATTAGAACTAATGGCCCCCGCCCGTGGGTCCGCATTTCTCTGTGCGGGTGGTGCAGCTGCACAGATTTTCATGCGGATCCGCAGCGGCACCACCCGCACAGATGTGAACCTAGGGTAATAATGCTTTAAGTAAGAAGGACTGACATCAGGTGCTTTTGAATTCAAAGCCTAAAATACTAAAACTGGAGCACTCAGAAGCTGATTGGCTGCCATGCACAGCTGCAGCAGATTCTAACTTCAGCTTGCTCAATCAAGCTTTGACCAGGGGCGGACTGACCATTCGAGCACTGCCCGGGGTCAGTAGGGGGCCCCATGAAATGCCCCTGGTACTTTTTTTATAGGCTTTTTTGAGTGTGGGCAAGGACACAGGGGCTCCATGATCCCCTATTGCCCGGGCGCCCCATGAGTTGTCAATCAGGAGGGCAGAAGAGGCAGCTGCCCTGAGTGATGTGGTATCATGCGAGGGGGGAAGGGGGATGGGCACCGCATGAAGAGTGCCTACCTGCAAGCTGACAGGAGTAGCGACGGCAGCTCTACTACTCTTGTCAGCTTAGCTCTGGAGGAGACACAGATCTGGAAAGGAGGAGCGAGCTGGGAGGAGGGACAGGTTGTGCTCTCTTCCCCCTCCAGCTCTCCTGAATCGGGACTGCGGAATCACCACTGTGCAGTGTTTGTTTACTGTCTCCTCCCAGCAAAGAATGTGAGTAGGGGGTGGATAAGAAAGCCCTGCACAGTGGCAATCTGATAGCCAGAGGTATCTCTAGTGCAGGGCCCCTGATGCTGCAATCCTATAGCCCCTCTATAGTGCTTACATTTTTTGGGGGGTGAGAGAGAGATTTTTGCTGACACATAATGCTCATACATTTTGGGGGGCACCGTTTGGCATCTTCGTCCTGGGTTCTAGACAACCTTGTCCCGGTACTGTGGATAAAAATACTAAGAATTCAAGAAGTTCCCATGCAATTGTGACTAGTTTCAGGGCCTGTTCACACAGCCGTGTGTAGCTGCAGCTACACTAAGCCACAGACGTTTCTATTCTGGCTGAAATAAGCCAGCGGTACAGGATGGTGTGATGCTTGTTTCAGTGCATCACACGGCTCCCCCCCCTTTTTTTTCACTCAACTTTATTTGAAGTGTACATGACGACACTTCATTAATTGCACTGTGCAGCAGTGTGTTGCGCTGTGCTGCTGTACGGCGACCGGTGATTCGGCCCACAACGCTGTTTTAAAATGCAGCATGCGAGCAACAGAACTCAGGCCTACTTTGCAGTTTGAATAGGACACATAGAAAACAATTGTTTTCTGTGTCCAAGCTGACAGAAGTGGGAAAGATTTGGAAAAGTTAACTGTACTTGCTAGTTTTATTTTAACTGCCTGACTCATAGCCTCAGTCAAGCTGTGAAAAAGAATAGCAGCTCTACAAGGGAACAAAGTCTTCTGAAGAGTCCATGTCCCCATAGGAAGACTGAGAACACCGGCACTGCACACAATCCCTCTGGGCTGGAGCGGAGGAGCCTGAAATACATGCTTGTGTTTACAGCTATTCCCGTGAAAGCTAGAGCAAAAAAAAAGTGCATCAGCAACCATACAGACACCAGCACAGTTGCAGATTGCTTCACAGTACTGCACTGGAGTCAGGGGTGGTTATTTGGTGGGGCACTTGGCATCCATAGGTCGTATAAAAGGCCTGGACTTCAGGGGGGTTTAAACAAGCTCAGGTCATCTCCTTTGCGATGAGTTGATCCCAGAAGCAGCAAGCATTTTGTCATTTCCAGATTTAGAGCTGTATTTCTCCAGCTACTGTGGCCAGGTAAGCAGCTAATCCAGCATGATCTGTGCTTGATTAGCTGCAGTGGAGGGCAAAGGTGACATTATGGGGTTTATTTACTAAAGCTGGAGAGTGCAAAATCAGACTCACTTCTGCATAGAAACCAATCAGCTTCCAGGTTTCATTGCCAAAGCTTCATTGAACAAGCTGAGGTTAGAAGCGGATTGGTTTCTATGCAGAAGGGAGTCTGATTTTGGACTCTCCAGCTTTAGTAAATAAACCCCTATAGGTCTAGTAGACCCCTGATCTCTCCATAAAGTGAACCTGCCACCTGCCCATGCTATCACATAAGAAGCTTGTTAGCGTTCATTTTATTTTGCTCCTATTTTTTTTTTTTTTTAATTAGTTTGTTTTATCATTTTATATTTTAGGAGCAAGTCCATCACCCCATACACACAAAAAACACACATGTAGGGCACACACGCAAATGTAAACAGCTATTTAGCCACATGCGCGGCATCTCTGAACACTGGAGAGCAATAATTCTAGTAAAATTCACAGTTAGCTCTAAACAGATAATCTGTAAAAGCTTTGTCAGCGTCACCTATGGAGAATTTTGGGAATCGTGGTCTAGACATTTTACAGGAATGTGCAGCTTTAAAGGATAAGTTCACCTTTGGAACATGTTACATGGTCCACCCATTTTTATGGTGGACCATCTAACATGTTCCCATAGCCTCAGCCGCGCCTGCTGCACCCTCTCCCTCTGACAGATAATACGGGGAGAAGTCTCCCCGTACTGTCAGATTTGAAAACAATGTGGTTGTGCAGGGCTCCGCCCACATGGCCCTGTCATTCATTCACAGAGTTCTTTGAATGAGTGCCTATAATTCCCAACAGCTTTAATGGCTGTCGGCTTGTAGTTTTCAGTGAACTTCCACAGCACTGTGGAGCGCCGTGGTAGTGCATTGATTTCTCCTGTCAGAATATCTGCTTGACCATATATCCTGTACGGCAAGCAGATATTCTGACCTGCATGGCATTAGCGATCTACTGATCACTGGTGCAATGCTTTACAGGCTCCATTGAACAAAAATAATAAATGCACATTATTTTACCTGCAAAAAAAATGTGCATCTATTATTTTTGTCCAAAAGGTGAACTTATCGTTTAAGACTTGACATGTTTGGTATCTATTTACTTGACAATCATCTTTCATATGTGTAAAAATAGGGTATTATATAGTATTTGTGTGCAATAAAATTGATTTCAGTGCATTTTTCCATTTGTGTTTAATAAACAGTCATGCCAATATCATACAACGGAAAAAAAATTGCAAAAACCATTTTACAGGGTCTCTGCTTTCAGAAAATATATAATTTTTGGGGTTTTAAGCAATATCCAAGCAAAAAAAAAAAAATGCAGTTTTTAATGTCCATGAAAATTTTAAAAACTGCCCTGGACGTCCTGTGGTTAAAGTGGACCTAAACATACATATTTTAATCTGATCCACTTTAAGCAACTATGGAAGGGAATTATGCATTAACAAATAATAAAAAGTAATTTGCATTAATGGAACCTGGGGGGAGGGAGGAAGAGGGTATTAGAATGAATGCAAACATACCTGTCCCCATTAACAAGAGGATACTACAATTTTTGGTTGCAGGCCGAATTACCTAAATCTGGCATTAATCATGTGACTTGTAATGGCTGCACATTGTGAACTCCACCATCCGCCTAATTTGTTATGACTGATGAATCTGATGCCATCAGCAACCCAATGCAGAGTTGCTGTAGGCCATGGATAGAATGCCCTTAACACAGTATTATATGAAATGTGGAGGAAAGACACCGAGCCTCATTTATCAAGGTGTCCAAGTGAAGAACTGTCAGTGTTGCTCCTACGCAGCCAATCAAATTCTTCTTGTGATTCTTACATACTGCAAAGGGCCAAGCTGATTGGATAACCATGTGACAGATGGTTGTTCTTTCTCTCTAAACTGGGCCCATTGTGGCACATTTTCTACAACACATACTGTGTGAATGCGGCAGTGAACTAGAAGTACTTACTCTCTAATCTTCTTCTCTGACCCATCCCGTCCGGGATCATACACCCCTTTAGGAAGGTGCTGTATGAGTCCTATTCTTTGCGCTATTCTGATTTGCTCCTCTTCTGTGAGCTGAGTAGCTAGTCGGGTCTGGCTTGGGGTTGGATGGTACACAGGTACTGGGGCCTGCTCCTGTAAGACAAAAGAGATTTTATTACTTAGAGTAAAGAGCAATAAGACAAATGGCAGTTCATTGAATCTGATAGCTAAAAAGCACAAACATCACAAATGGCAGTTCACTGAATCTGATAGCTAAAAAGCACAAACAGTTCCCTGAGAGAGAGAAAGTCTAAAATGTAACTTTTTCTCCACTAGTTCCCTTTCTGTTGGCACTTCTTCAGCATTGGCACTGGTCTATGCATTCCATAGAATGGTGACTGTTCTATTACTCAAGAGTTGCGTTTCACAGCAGTTATTAAAAACGGAATTGTAGTCAGATATAAAATGACAAAACAAAATAATTCAGCTCTGTATTCTTTACCACATTTTTAATTTTGTTTTCAATTCCATCAGTACAGGTACCTGAATTTAACATTGTATATGACTCTGTACAGCAGAGCTCAGACTGGTAGAGAGGGGGGCATCACAAAGTAACATGCTGATAGAGGAGAGCCACATAAGCTCATCAGTATTCTGCTTCTACCTTTACTTAAAGACCAATCTCAGACTGCCTTATATCCTGAATGCAGTGTTTGTGCTTTCAGAGAAATGCCAGTAAATTCAGCTGCCTGTAAACTTCTCTAAATGACACATAGGACAACAGAGGAGAGTTCAGGGGCTTCAGAAAAAATAATGCCCAACTGCTCCTGAACCTCAGTTTAGAAGCTGCCGTGTACATAAGGATTTAAGCTCCATGCACACTGGTTTAAAAAAACCTGCTGCTCCTAGAGGAGTTTAGCATATTGCCTGTAGAAGCAACTGTTCTCCTATGTGTCCATGCACAATACGTGGTCTAGGGACGTGAAGGCTCCATGCACAATAGGTGGTCTAGAGACATGAAGGCTCCATGCACAATAGGTGGTCTAGGGACGTGAAGGCTCCATGCACACTAGGTGGTCTAGAGGCGTGAAGGCTCCATGCACACTAGGTGGTCTAGGGACGTGAAGGCTCCATGCACAATAGGTGGTCTAGAGACATGAAGGCTCCATGCACAATAGGTGGTCTAGAGACATGAAGGCTCCATGCACAATAGGTGGTCTAAAGACATGAAGGCTCCATGCACACTAGGTAGTCTAGAGACGTGAAGGC